CTAGGGTGCGCAGGCTTCAGGAGTTGTGGCACGAGGGCTCAGTAGTTGTGGCTCCTGGGATCAGAAGCACAGGCTCAACAGCTGTGGCACATGGGCTTAGATGCTCTGCGCCATGCGGGATCTTCCCAGATTAGGGATTAAACCCATGTCTCCTGCATAGTTACAGAGTCTTTACCACTGAGCCACCAGCGAAGCCCCATGCATTTCTTTAATTATGATAAAATCCATTCTTTAAACTGAACTATCAGAAAAATATATTGTTTGAGCTTTTGCAGAGATGCTTTCATTAAATTGTGCTCTGGTCTTATGGCTTTAAAGTTGAAAGTTGTAAGAAGCTGTTATATATGACTTGCTGTTGCTATTACAGCTACTGGATATAGTTGAGTAAAGTATTCACTATACTGCACAGTTTCCTCTTGGACAGGAACCACATGGAACACTGCTCTACAGTCTTTGTGCTTGAAAAATCTAGGCACCTTCTGAAGGACTGTAACATCAGCTTTTATCTGATATTATAGACAGAGTAACACCTGTAAACAATCATATTTTCCTTTAGCTCAAGAGAAGCAAATAACAAATTCTGTGGCAAATGTACAGAACTCAGTCATATGCATTTGGTGTCTCTGCTGGATTATCTGTTTTCAACATATTAATCTTATCTTTGGCTTTATCTTCCTTAATTTACCTTGTCTTGATTTCTTATCTTTTCTTTTGCTTTTAATCCGTTTGAACTGAATTGCAAGTATTTGTCAGTTACTTGAAATTCATTTTGGAAAGAATAAGTAGATATATAAATTAGCAAGACAGCACAAATTATTGTTGTCATTTCTCTTTGTTCCCCTTCAGAACAGTCTTACAGACTTTCACCTTATCATGGCCAAGGACCAGATCAAAATGCATTCCTAGATTTTACTTCAGGACTTACCACAACAAAATAAAATCAATCCCAAAGGAATTTTCCTGTAACCAAGGTGATCTAACTATTCAGTACTTAATTTTTCTAAAGAATTTTGTAATACTTAGAGATAAAAAAATAATAAAACCATTCTTGTTCCTCAGTGCAATTACATAGGTTAGGTTTTCTGGTTAGAAAGGGATGCAGTGTTTTTCAGAGGTTTCAAAATACCAGCTTTTACCAAAGAGATATTTGTTATACACTAGTGTGCTGAAAGGAGAAGGCAATGGCACCCCACTCCAGTACTCTTGCCTGGAAAATCCCATGGACGGAGGGGCCTGGTAGGTTACAGTCCATGGGGTCATGAAGAGTCAGACATGACTGAGTGACTTCACTTTCATGCACTGGAGAAGGAAATGGCAATCCACTCCAGTATTCTTGCCTGGAGAATCCCAGGGACGGGAGCCTGGTGGGCTGCCGTCTGTGGGGTCGCATAGAGTCGGACACGACTGACGTGACTTAGCAGTGTGCTGAAATATGTTAACTGGTGCTCCACAAAAAAATAGGAACAACTGAGTCTGGATAGCACTGAATTTAATTGAGATAGGTGCTCGTGCTCAGTTGTGTCTGACTCTTTGTGACTCCATGGACTGTAGCCCACCAGGCTTCTCTGTCCACAGGATTTTCCTAGCAAGAATACTGGAGTGGGTTGCTATTTCCTCCTCCCGGGGTTATCTTCCTGATCCAGGGGTCGAATCCGTGTTTCCTGAGTCTCCTGCGCTGGAGACAGATTCTTTATCCCTGAGCCACCAGGGAAGCCCAAACTAAGATAAGCAGAAGATTAACAGTTTCTCAGTGGTGGGATTTATAAAAGCCATTAATGCAACTCTCTGAGGGAGAGTATAGTTTAGCATTACCTGAAGTTGTTTTTGGGAGTACACCAAATGACAAGTTCAAGTAGTGACTAGCTGCAAAGTATGACTTATCCTTTCTCCCCCTGCGTCCTTCCTCACACATGTTTACAGCTGAAACACACTTTCACTGAAGTATGCTAATGGATATTTATGGGGTTTTCTATGAGAGGACAAGCTTTACCAACATTTGGAAAGAGAAAATTTTAGCCAAGGGTAAATATGGTAAATCATCAGAAGAAAGTATATGTATATGCTACCAAGCTCAAGATCCCCTGGAGATGGGAAAAGCTACCCACTCTAGTATTCTGGCCTAGAGAATTCCATGGACTGTATAGTCCATGGGGTCGCAAAGAGTCGGACGTGACTCAGCGACTCTCATTTTCTAGGTCTAAAATAGGCAGTTAATTGTGTACACTTGGCATCTAGCAAATATATGTTGAAAATATACTATTAGAGAGAGAGAGCGAGCACATTTATGAAAGAGCATGAAAGTACTAATATTTTAAAACTCTATTTCTTGGGACTTCCCTCATAGTCCAGTGGCTAAGACTCCACATTTTCAATCCAGGGTTATGCTTAGTCACTCAGTTGTGTCTGACACTTACGACCCCATGGACTGTTGCCTGCCAGGCTCCTTTGTCCATGGAATTTTCCAGGCAAGAATACTGGAGTGGGTTGCCATTTCCTACTCCAGGGCATTTTCTGGACCCAGGGCTTGGACCCAGGTCTCCCGCTTGGCAGGCAGATTCTTTACCAGTGTGCTACCTGTGAAGCCCTCAATGCAGGGGGCCTGGGTTCAATCCCTGGTAAGGAAACTAGATCCTGCATGCCACAACTAAAGATGCTGGAATTAAGACCCTTTGCAGTCAAATAAATAAATACTTTTTAAAAACACTGTATTTCTTGAAATAGCCTAAAAGTATAGTGACAAATACTTTATCCAAACTTTTATGAAACTCTATACACATGATTCCTATGATCATACACAATGAAAAATGACCTTGTACTGGAATGGAGCAAGCAAAAGCGCATGAGCTTGGTACACAGTCATAAAGACCTAAGTGAGAATCTCAGTTGTTCCCATTTCTATGTGTGACTTCTCAATAAGCTTCAGTTTTCTCACATGTGAAGAGAAATCTCTAACCTTGTAGCTTGTTTTAATGGTCAATAAATAAACACAGGTAAAGTAGCTGGCAGAGTACTTGACCCACAGAAGATGTTCAACAGTTATTTCTACCTTCCATTATTGAGAGTCTTTAGCATGTACAAAGACTAGAGTTTGTCAGGTATAGTATCTTGCACATATGTGATAGGCACTCAATAAGTGTGTGAACATGAATAAACTCTGATTTCCAAACAGTGAAATCTTACACATTTCTCAAGACCTACCTCAAATATCACCTCTTCTATAGTGTTCTCTGATTTCTTCTATAGTGTTCTCTGATTTCAAAAGCTGTGAAAGATTTTTATTTTGCCCCTAAACTCGTAAGTATTTTGCTTTTATTTCTCTTATGTTATTTAGCACCCTTTTCCTTGATCTGCTGTTAATTGTAGACATGTTGCATCTTCCTTACAACGTGTAATCTCTTCTTGCAGGCAGAAAATGTCTTTCTGGCCTTTGTTTCTCTTTCAGTGCTTAGCATAATTCTTATTCAAAAATCATCTGTTGATGCTGGAGAGGGTGTAGAGAAAAGGGAACCCTCCTACACTTTTGGTGGTAATGTAAATTGGTGTATTCACTATGGAGAACAGTATGGAGGTTTCTTTAAAAACTAAAAGTAGAGCTACTATATTATCCAGCAATCCTACCCCTGGGCATAATATTCAGAGAAGATTAAAAACTCTAGTTTGAAAAGATACATACACCTCAGTGTGTGTTTACACTGAGGTGTAAACAGCAGCACTGTTTACAATAGCCAAGACATGGAAGCAACCTAAGTGTCCATCAACAGATCAATGGATAAAGAAGATGTGCTACCTATACACAATGGAATATTACTCAGCCATAAAAAAGAATGAAATATTGCCATATGTGGCAACATGGATGGACCAAGAGATTATCATACTAAGTAAAGCAAGTCAGAGTAAGAAAGACCAATATTATGGTTACCAAAAAGGAAAGAAGGGGAAAGGGATAAAATAGGAGTATGGGAGTCACACACTACTATATAAATAATAAACAAAAATAATTTATTGTATATCATAGGGAACTATATTCAAAACCTTGTAATTATCTATAATGGAACAGAATTTGAAAAAAAATGTGTGTGTGTGTGTGTGTGTGTATCTGAATCATTTCTCTGTATACCTGAAACTAACACTATGTTGTAAAATCAACTATATATCAATTTTTAAAAATCTGCTGAATAAGTTATGAGGCAGCATCCTCTGACAAAGAATGAAGACTAATGGAGTTTTCCTCAGCCCAAGTTAGAGTCCTCCAGGCTTTTCCATCACTTGCTTCCTCTTTTTATAAATGAATCTGGCCATTAATTTCATGTCTAGCAAAAAGTTCTAAAAGTCCTTTCCTGTGAGCCATCCAAGGAAGTCATTTGATATCACTTCCTTTTTTTCCCCATTGCACTTCAGGTAAATCACTAGAATAACTTTTACAAATATAATATAATTTTATAAGACTATGAATTTCTGGAGGGGAGGACCCATATCTTTATCCCTGTTCCCAAAGATTTCAGACACATACTAAGTAGTCAAAAAATATTTGCAAAACGAGTGAATGAAAAATTCTCTGTTATCACAGACATGATATGAACTCAAAGGGGAAAAAAAAATCAGCCAAGCTAAATGGACTTCTCATAATTAGGGGCCCAGTGCAAGATGTTGCAGGAGTAACTCTGTTTCTTTGGGTGATTACAGGAAGCCTGGGAAAAGGGAAGAAAATATAGTCTTTGTGGCGTGAGACAATATTTAGGAAGGATGGGAGTATCTGTCAGGCAAGAAACGGAGAGGAATTGAGAAGAATAGAAAACCATGAATCTAGTACAAGGTAAGTTTTCTAAGAGTTCAACAACATAACAGATCAGAAATGATTCTTCTTAAAAAAAGGTTAGTTTTCCATACTAAAATGAGTTTGGGAAAAGTGGAAAGAATTAAGTTATAAGAAATATTACCTTAGTATCAAATGCAATGGAAATATATGCATTTTAATAACTTTTCTAAAAATTATGTCTTACCTCACGTTCTTCTTCTTGTTCTTTTCGAATCTGTTCCAAACGAAATTGTTCTGCCATCTCTCTCTCATGAGCTTCCCTCTGTTGATAAAAGAGAATGAAATTCAACACTCAATAAACACTGATCTACTTAAAAAAAGAAAAAATCCATTCTCAGCATGGCCCAGAGGTACACTATAGTAATGAAAATGTTTCTCTCTGGAACAAAATGGAAATTAAAGCAACAACAAAGCATAGGTCTCTGTTCATGTTTAGGTTCCTACTAAACTTATGTTTAGGTGCCCTGGGTAATGCAGCATTCAAGATCCTTTAGAGCCTTTCTCTGGTCATCCTTTCTGCTACCTCAGTTCAGTTCAGTTCAATCAGTCGTGTCCGACTCTTTGCCACCCCACAGACTGCAGCATGCCAGGCTTCCCTGTCCATCACCAAGTCCTGGAGCTTGCTCACACTCATGTCCATCAAATCGGTGATGCCATCCAATCATCTCTTCCTCCCTTCAATCTTTCCCAGCATCAGGATCTTTTCAAATGAGTCAGTTCTTTGCATCAGGTGGCCAAAGTATTGGACCTTCAGCATTAGTCCTTCCAATGAATATTTAGGACTGATTTCCTTTAGGATTGACTGGTTTGATCGCCTTGCAGTTCAAAGTTCTCTCAATAGTCTTCTCCAACACCACAGTTCAAAAGTATCAGTTCTTTGGCACTCAGCTTTCCTTATGGTCCAACTTTTACATCCAGACATGACTATTGGAAAAACCATAGCTTTGACTAGACGGACCTTTGTTGGCAGAGTAATGTCTCTGTCTTTTAACATGCTGTCTAGGTTTGTCACAGCTTTTCTTCTAAGGAGCAGGTGTCTTTTAATTTCATAGCTGTAGTCACCAACCTCTCTTATACCCAAATATCAAACCAGCCTCTATCATGAACCCCTGCTTTCTGCCCTTCCTGCAAGCATATATTACTTCCTCTCTTATCTCTTTCTCTGTCTGGTTGGAATAAACAGCCTTTTCTACAAAACCCTTCCAAGTACATTCCCACTTCTTGGCTGTCCATAAAAGTTTTCCACTGGAAATTCTGTTCACTGAACTCTGACAGAACTCAGGGCTTCCCTTTTGACATTTAGGATCCTTGCCCAAGTGTTCCAGCTATCTGTGCTCTTGAGTTAATCTACTCTCCACCACAGTGACCCTTCTTTTGAGGGTAAGAAACTATGGCTTATTCATTTTCCTCTTGTGGAAGTGTATGCTCAAAAGCACTAAATAAGCCAGTGGTTCTCAACCCTGACTGCACATTAAAATCACCTGAAGAGTTTTTAAAACATTGGTAAATTTTACCATAGGCTGATTAAAGAACAAATGAAGTACATACTAGGCCCACCATTTGTGTCTTCATGTCTCATGATTCTTGAAAAAGCTGTATCTTGTCAAAATGAACCATGCTTTAATAACCAGAGGCAGAATTATATTCTTTCTGTTAACTGAATCCAGCTTTCTCCAAGGCAAAGACACCTCTCATGGATCAAGATGATTAAAGGACTGGCACTTAAATAAAGACTATTTAGGATTGATGTCTTTATCCCAGAAGTCCCTTGACCAAACCTACCTTTGCTCTGTCAGCCTCAAGTGAAAGGCGATAGGCCTCATCTTGTTCTCTCTTCACATTTTCTCTGGCTTCTCGTTCATCCTTATTAAGAAAGGAAAATATTCAATGCATTTTACCACATTACTGTTTTTTAAAGAAAAAAAAATAATCCCTTGTCTTATCCCTGTATAAATTTATTATAATTAACAAGGTACTTATAAAGTGTACAGCATAAACAAGTAATAAGGTGCATAGCACAGTATACAGTGAAAATAAAAAGTTTGAAGCCGAGTGCCAGCACTTACAAATTTTGTGACCCTGGGTAAGTTATTTAAGTTCTCTAGGTCTCAGTTTTCTCAACTATAAAAAAGAAATAACACTTGTCTCATAGGGTTGTTGTGAGAATTCAATACCATATTATATGAACTACTAATATCTAGAAAAGTACTTGACATTTAGTTCATTTTCAGTGATTCGTTCCTTTCTCTTTTTCTCCTGATTTTTCTAAGATAAACCTGGAGACTGTCGGAACTGGGCCTAAGGGCTGGGAGACAGAAACGGACTAGGAAGTAATCCCCTGGTCAGCACATAAACAGGCTGAAATCTCACCGCTAAAGCTTGGTTGTGCTGTGCTGTGCTCAGTCGCTCAGTCGTGTATGACTCTTTGTGATGCCCTGAACTGCAGCCCACCAGGCTCCTCTGTCCATGGAATTCTCCAGACAAGAATACTGGAGTGGGTTGTCATGCCCTCCTCCAGGGGTATTCCTGACCCAGGGATGGAATGCAGCTCTTCCGCATTGCAAGTGGATTCTTTACCATCTGAGCCATCAGGGAAAGTATTTTCCCATAACATTCACACTCATGAAGTGTACATAATGTAGAAATTATTTGAGTTGAAGATCTTTTAGAATACTTTTAATGTCAGAAGTTATTATGCCATCTGCCTACATTTAAACTGTGATGTTATATGAAGTTAAGTTAATTCAACTACCAGAATTTATTTGTTAAATTCTGGAGTATAGCCAATATATCAATGTGCTGTGCTGTGCTTAGTCGCGTCCAACTCTTTGCGACCCCATGGACTGCAGTCCACCAGGCTCCCCTGTCCAGGCAAGAATACTGGAGTGGGTTGCCATGCCCTCCTCCAGGGGATCTTCCCAACCCAGGTCAAACCCAGGTCTCCTGCATTGCAGGTAGATTCTTCACTGACTGAGCCACCAGGGACATATATATCAATACGTGTACTTAAATTTAATAAATACCCACATTGGTTGACATTAGAATATAGCTTCCTTTTATGGTTATTTTGCAGGGTAGGTTGAATCATATACAGTCATCAATATTTGCTGGCTTTTGACCCATAAAAATGAACATTTCATACGGTTTCACTTAATTCTTCTTTTTGTCTCCTCAATTCAATATGTGTTTACTCAGGCTGAGTATATGCTCAGCACTGTCTTAGGTGCACCCTCTGATATCTACTCACGGTTGGCCTTCTCCCTGAAGTCTCATACGCCTTTTGGTCTCAATGATCCCATTAACTCTACAATCCCTGGTATGAATAGTAACATTTAATTGATTCCTAGTCTTTCAAATAAAAAATTATAAAGAATTAGATGTTGCTGTCCTGAAGTTAACTGCAATACTATCTATGATGAAGAAGTATGCCAGGGAAATTTAATGTTACAATAAAATATCAGGATCAATGTTTAACCTGAGAGGTCACTTAGATTGCAAAGTAGTCAGAATAATTTACAAGCCATGTAATATTACCCACGAATAAAACTAGGTTTTAAAAACTTCTACTTGGAAACTTAGTACTTAGCTATTAGTATTTTCATTTTAAAGAAATAGAAGCATATTCCTTTAAAGATATCTTCATTGATTCCAATGGGTATTTCCCACTTTGGTCTACATACTACAGTTTTACTATGACCAGGTACAACCAGCCTGATAGGACTTATTTTGTATATTTCTGTTTATATTTACATTTGCCTAATTCATTACTCTGTAAGCACCTCCCTCCCCCAGTATACAAGCTTGTACAGAGTGGACACTTAATAGCTCTTTTGGCCATGGCAGATCTATACTTGATGTATATTATCTTATCTTTTTACCAAGAGAGGTAATGAGAAGACTAGTAGACCTGTGTTCAAGTTCCAGCCATGCTATTAGCAAGCTATGTATTCTTGGGTAAACAGTGTCTCCCTTTTCAGTCATTTATTAAGTCGAAGAATCGAATTTTTAAGGATTCTGTGCCTTTCTCAACAAGTCTATCTTTCCAAATTTAGATATCCCTAATATTATCAACAACCTATGGGTGTTCTCTTTTAATATTTCAAATAGGGAAATATTTAAGATGCTTAAAATTTTAACTGTAACATACTTTTTGATCCCATCAGCAAATTAGTTTAGATTTCTCTTGTAACATCCTGTACTTTCCCTTTAAAAATATTTATCACAATTGTACTGTCATATGATTGTTTATTTAATGTGAGAGTCCCCCATGACAACTGTAAGCACCATAAAGGCAGGGACCTTGTCCATATTACATACCTTTATATTACAAGTGTTTTGCACAATGCCTAACTTTTGTGAGGCATTTAACAAGCATCTGTTGCATAAATGAACTGCCTTTCCAGGCATAAAACATTTATTGTCTACTGTAAAAATTAGGGAGGAAAATGATACAGCTCATTCACAAAGCAGCTCCATCTGAGTCAATGAAATTGACTAGCTGGGCAGAAATGACCTGTTACGACACTATGTACACACCACAAAGGGATCTTCTAAAAGCTCTCTGAGCACAAATACAGTTTATAATAGAAGTGTTCTAGGTGAACAGCTCTGTTTTAAAACAGACTGTTGCAGATATGAAAGGTCATTGAATACAGGGATTCATGGCATAAAATGTGGCACCTGTTGTGACAGGACTTCCTAAGCCAGCTAACTTTCTTCCTTCCCCCTCCCCTCTTCTCCCTTCTATTTCTCTGCCCTTCTTTCTTACAAATATTTACTAAGCACCAATTTTACTTTAGGCATCACACTAACAGTGTAAAGCAGGAATACAAAATACAGAAGCAGGACACAGTTTAATAGAGGAAGACAGATAATTATACATGGACCACCTTCATCATTACTTTAGGCATCTACTGATTTACTGTGACAAGTGCAGTGTTCAAGTTTTGCATTATTTTCCTTTTGTTTCTTAAATAACATCACTCTTACCACCTGGAAAACGTCTTGTTCCATTGGCTGTATCCCTCAAAATCACAACAGCTTTTCATATATTTTCAGAAATATAAGAGACCAGTATACAGATAAAGAAACTGAAATCACATAAGGGTAAATAATTTACACAAGACCATTAAATTAGTGGCAGAACTTAGATTTGAATCCAGATCAGCAATATTTTCCTCTCTTCTCCTCTGGTAATTCAATGTTCTTTTCCTTACTCACAATGTCCCTGAGTATCAGACAGGGAGACAGAAGGACTGGCTCAGGCATGTGGCTCAGGGTCAATTTTCCTAAATTCCATCATGGTCATAGCTGCTTGCATGTTTGGTAGTTGCTTGTGAATGACTATCATCCACTTTTTTTTCTGTCTTGTAGATTTTATACTTGCCTCTCCAACTGTCCTACTCACAGTCATTTACAATTTGGGGATATAGAGAATGTTGCTTAGCCTTTCCCCCCATTATCCTATGTTGCTGTTGTTGGCCAGTTGTTAAGCTGTGTCCAAATCTTTGCAACCCCATGGACTATAGCCTGCCAAGCTCCTCTCTCCATGGGGTTTTCTCAGGCAAGAATACTGGAGTGGGTTGCCATTTCCTTCTCCAGGGAATCTTCCCGGATCAGAGATTGAACCTGCATCTTTTGCAATGGCAAGGAGATTCTTTACCACTGAACTACCTGGGAAGCCCATATTACAACCAAACTTTTAGGATAATTTCAGGTACTGTGGTTAACAGTTCATGTATACATTTGTTTTCATAAACTGTGCTTCTTGGAACTTCTGTGTCCTACAAATACCGTCCTTGCAGAGGTTCCTCTTGCTACATCTCAGGGGATGCATCAGACAAAGCGATTAGAAATACACTGTTGATTAGGTGGAGGCAGAACAGCTGGATGATCCGGTTTAGGAACAGGTTTCAGGTGCTGCCTGATCTATGACTTGGGCTACTTAATATAAAAATACTTCCTGTTATAGGAAAATGAGAAGCTGGATTGCTCAGAACTAAGCAATAACCTCTGCTGGAGCCTTTCACCTGTAGCATACTTGTCACTGCTCCCATGCTGCTTTGTGGCACACTCATCTGTATCTCTGTCTCACTACTCCCTACTTGAGCTGTAAACTCCCTAAGGGAAAGGACTCTATATATTCTATGGCATCTAGGCTACTATCTTATACATAGCAAGCATTTGATACATATTTGGTAGATGAATGAGTGGAATTATCAGTGTTCACCAGCTTTACATCTGAAGTTCTTGAACTTCTAAGTATTCTTTAGACTAGTGTTTTTTTTTTTTTATGTAAGCATTTTTTTTCTGAGTAGTATAATTACTTGCAAAGAAGTGCTAGAATTCAAATTCAAACCCAGTCTTCTCCTTCTGAAAGCCTATGCCTTTTTCCCACTGTGGCTCTCTGAGTTGCTCAGCAGAGTTTTATATCTCTGAAACAGTGACCACTGAATTAGATGTCTCTACAACTCACCAAAAATAATGAACACATTTTATGAGCTATCAAATGGTTCTTAAATGAGGAAATGAACCAGACATGGAATTTAAGTGCAACTTGTTACTCTTCCTTGTTTAAAGTTAGCAATCATCAGTTAATTCTCAAGGACTAATGCGAAATTTCACATTGCCAAATTGAAGCAAGCTATAGTGATTAGGCTAATTTCAAATAATAACCAAGTGTATACACAAATACCCACATACATATATACATATGGTATTTATTTGTTCCTCTGAAAGCCCAGGTTAAAATGTACCTTAATAAGAAGGCCTTTGAAAACAAGGAAATGATGCTGGTCTGTCCCTAAGGAGATATGGACCAAGATAATGTGAAATTCTTTCAATATAAATACTTAGAAATAGTA